CACGAACGTGTATGTCGACAGGTAGAAGAACACGGTTGACCCGACCGCCAGCACGAAGAATGCCGTCATTGAGAATATCCACGTGCGGTATTGCGCCTGGCCCGCCGGTTGGATGTCGTGCACTGTGTCCTTTTTGTTTGCGTTAAATTTGAATGGAAATTGCACAAAAAAAAAAAATCATAATTCAATCCGAACTCAACTGATGTGGCAAACACCCAGATCTGGATGGCAATAAACACGGCAGTCAGCGCCAGTTCTGACTGGTAATATATGCGCGTTTCGGTCTCCTTCACGAGCGGATATCTGATGGAGAAGTATCGCTCCATGGCCAGCAGAACGTTTGACGAGGTCAGCGCCAGCAGCAGGATGGAGGTGCCAGCGGCAGCGAAGCGGCCGTACGGATCGGAGTTGTAGAACAGAAGCACCAGGCCCTGGAAGATGCACTGGAACAGCGCATACACGCCCGTGATGGCAATGACGGCACAGACGATGGCGTCCATCCGCGAGCCATTCCGGCATCGCACCATCACTGAGAGGACGAGCGGATTCAGCACGAGGCCCGCAAAGTAGAATGGCGCGATGACGCAGTACACCACGAAGAAGCCTGGATCGGTGGCGGGCGCCTCTGTGTCCATCGCCAGATTCAAGCGAGTTCACACACCCACCCCAAAAAGCCAAAAGAAATCTTGATTCCAAGCTCTGTTTTCTTTTTACCCATTTCACTTCATCCGCGCAGTTCCACTCTCAGACGCCGCGCAACTTCGTCGCGTATTGCGTCCTGGATGACATCCACCTCTTCGTTTACAAGGTTCCGGTCCATTGAGCGGAAGTTTATGCGAAAGCACTTTGAAGTCTTGCCCGTCTTTTTGTTTGAAAATGTGTCGATCTGAGTGGGGGCACGATGTAATTGAATTGTGTACGTAAAACGAAATAAAAAATTTTGATACCAGTGCAACGTCCTCTGCAAGATCACCAGCAACATCCCGCACAACTTCAAACATATCATTGTCGTGAAATGATCCGTCAACAGGGAGCCAAAATGAAATGTCTTTGTAACAGGCGGGGTATTTAGAGTAAGGAACAAATTTGAAAGCAGCGTCGTCGCTTTTGCCTTCAAACTGCGACAAGAATCGCCGGTCCGTGCTCCAAAATAGCCGAATGTCTGGAATGTCGTACAAAACCATTGCGATGCGTTCCAATCCAATGCCAAAGGCCCACCCGACTTTGTCGGAGTTCCCCGACGCGTCGAGGATTTGCTGTTTGATCACACCGCAACCAAGAAGTTCTAGCCACTTGCCGTTGAACATGACTTCCATTTCGTAAGACGGTTGGGTGAAAGGAAAAGATCCGCGGATCCAGCGAATTTGCAGCGGCGGCGACGACGATGATGACGATGTGGCAGCGTGCGCGGCAAACAGATGGTGCACAAGACCTTCGAGCGTGCGCTTCAGGTGGCGCGCGACAGCGTCGCTTTCTTCGCACGTGTGGACTGATTGCTGGGGTTCCGGATCATCCAAAGTAGTGTCCTGGACACGAACGGATGATTTGGAAATGCGTTCGAACAAGGCATGTTCGGCAGGAGTGGTACCGGCGATTGATGCCGTGTTGTCATTGGTGCAGTGGCGCGGGAACAGACGGATGCCCTCCATCTGGTGGAAGACGGGGTAATGCGAGGTGTCGACCTCGTCGCGCCGGTAGACGTCTGCGGTGACAAGGTAGCCGGCGTCGGAGGCTTTCGAGGAGAGGACGTGCGACTGATGGGCGGAGGTGTGAGTTCGCAGGACGGTGGTGGCATTGATGTAGTACGTGTCAGTTGGGGCGCGCGACACGTGGTCGCTGGGGATGAGCAGGCTGTCGAAGTTGGCGTGGAGGGAGACGGCGGGCGGCAGGTGGTCGAGACAGAGGAACGGGGCGTGGGCGGACAGGAAGTTGCACACGCGCCGCTTCAGGATGGCGAGCGGATGCGACTGCAGCAGATGCAGGCGACGCGGGATGCGCGCGAGGATGGCGGGCGACACGTTGGTGGAGGCGTCGGTGGGGAAGCGCGTGCCGAGGATCGCGAGCGAGTTTGGCGCCGACGAAGCAGCCGACGCAGATGCAGAAGCAGGCGCAGATGCAGGGGCAGGGGCAGGGGCAGACGCGCTGGCAGCCGCGGCACTCGCACCTGCACCTACACTCGCACTCGCACCCCCACTCGCACGCGCACTCTGAGTCACGCTCCGAGGCACAGGCCCCGTCCCGGCCGCAGATGCTCGTGCGCATGGGGCGGTGCTGCCAGACACAGCGCGCGCTGCTCGCACGGTCCGCACACACAGCGGGGCCAGGCGCCGCATCAGCAGCAAATGATTCGACAGCAACAAACAGCAGAACAAAAAGACAAAAATACAGAAAATACAAAAAATAAAAATAAAGAAAAAAAGAAAATGTCGCTGCTGCTCCGGTCACTGCTGTCCGCGCCGCGCCTGCGTCCGCTGTCTCCTGCGTCCATGCTGTCCGCCTGCTCCACCTCACTCCCAGCTTTTCTGCATCGCTCCTCGCACCATCCGCGCGCCCTGTCGTCATCCCCAGAGTCGTCTGCCTCCGAGCAACAACCACAACAACCTCAAGATGCTGATGCCAAAATCGCCGCTATCGTTGCCGAAAAGGACAAACAGATTGCCGATTTGCAGGTTTCTATCTCCTGCTCCTCGTCCCCACCGTGCATTACCCCTGCCTCGCGCAAAATACGGAAAATGTGAAAAACCAAAAAAAAAAAAAGCACAAAATACCAACTAACCAAAAACAAAAACAAAAATAAAACAAAAACCATTTCCCCCCCAACGAAAACAGGACATGTATCGCAGATCCCTTGCGGACATGGAAAACATGCGACAGCGCACAAAACGCGAAGTCGAAAACGCTTCCACATTCGCAATCACCAAGTTCGCAAAGGACCTCCTCGACACTGCCGACGTCCTCGAAATCGCCCTCAAGTCCGTCCCCGAGAGCGAACGCGCCGCCGAACAACCTGCTGCAAACAATAAAACTCTGCGCGACTTTTATGCCGGCGTGTCCATGACCCACGACAATCTGATCAAGTCTTTCAAGCGGTTTGGCGTCGAACCCTTCGCTGATGACGCCATGACCACCTTCGACCACAACCTGCACCAGGCTGTGTTCCAAGCCCCAATCCCTGGAAAGGAAAGCGGCTCTATTTGCGAGGTCATTAAGAAGGGTTACATGATTCACGGACGCGTTCTGCGGTCCGCTCAAGTTGGTGTTGTGCAATGATGAATGAAGAAGAACGAAATTTTCATTTCTTTGAAATTTTTTTTTTCTGTCTTTTCTTTGTTTAAATCTTCTTCTTTGATCTTTTTGTTTACAAGAAAATCAAATCATAAATGCCCGACCTAAATTGACTACCTCGAAATGGTGCGCGCCGCCACATGTCGAGCAGACGCGTTTTATTTCTTTTTTTCACCTTGCCGATTCCTTTCCATGGACGAGATATCTATCTGCCTTTGAGAATAAATACATTTTATTTTATTTGTTTAATAAATTTAACAACGATAAAAAAGGAGTTGGAACAAAACAACGAAGGATAACACGCACGGAACGACAAAAAAAGAGCTATCTTATTGCATTGCCTCAACACACACACACACATGCAAGAAGTGAGTTGGATTTTATTTTCGAGTCGGAATTTCCCAAAGATCCCAAGATCAACGCGCATATCCACGGCCAGAGTGCAAATCAAAGACAAATGCGATAAGTGTTGTATCGTCCAGCGGTCTCACTTGGTCGCGTAATTTTGACAACCTGGCCGCGCTGAAGATTTCGCAAGTCAGGTACGACAAGTGTCTACAAAAGTCACCCAACAGCACCAGCTACCTTAAGTCCGTAATATCGTGCAACGGGATCAGACATCTGAATTCTGGGCAACTGCGCATCTTTCAATCGGCTGATCAAACATCAGGCTAAGCACCAAATTGCAAAAACACAAAGAAAAAGTAGCTCAACTATCTCTGCAGAAGTGTCAACTTTTCCTCCTTCGACAGAACGACGTGCTTGGGGACCAGCGAATGGTGCGTGATATTCACCATCAGCTCGCTTTCCATGAAAATCTGAATGTCGTATTTGGGCGCCATTTCTTGAATGACTTTGTGCGCAGACGGCGTGAGTGATTTGCGATAAATAACAATCGCTTTCATAATCGACTGCTGCATCATGCGTTCGCAGACTCTGCCGTTATTGATATCGATGGTTATTGTTTTTTTTTTTTGTTTTTGTTGGTTTTTTTTTTGTTTTTTCAGTGCGTACAACACATTCGAAAACAACTGAACTTGCGAATCGGCTTTATGCCCACGCTCTCATCGTCGGTAAAGAACACAAGGAGCTGGTCGTGCTCATCGCGATGCTCGACAAGGAAAGTGAGACTCTGTCGGCTGACCGAAAAAAAAATTCAAAAAAAGGTGCAGCAGAGGGGGAGGGGGTGTAGCAGCTCACTCGATCATTTGCGCGCGGAAATGGTCTTCCTTGAACGCCTCGAGAGACATGTTGAGTTCGTGGTCGCCGACCAGATAGCCCTGCGGGGAGGAAGGTGCGGTTGTCGAGCGAGTCCGGGGCCCGGAGACACAAAACCCAACCCACCCTGTCCGCAACCATCTCGTGGACCGTCTTGTGCACGCTGCAGGCCGGTCCCATGTCAGCCTGTCCGAACGTTCAAGCGGGTGGGCACCCACCGCCACAGCTTCACCGCCTCGCGTTCGGCGTCCCCCATTTTTTTCTTTTTTGTTTTGCAAAATCAGACCCTCCCTCATCCGACAACCAAAGTCCTACTTTTGCTTCGGTATATGCGAAAGGCTTTGGGTTGAACAACGCAGGCTCTTGGCAAACTCAACACATGTTGTGTTCGTACACGGAAAAACTGCACACAATTACTGTTGCCAGCCAGCAGTCACTGTACCAAACTCTCCACAAATACGATGCAGTAAAATTAAACGAACCACGGAAAAAGGTTTTCCGACGACCCGGAATCGAACCGGGGACCATATGATATCTGAGAGTATTACAGTCATATGCTCTACCAGCTGAGCTATCGTCGGATGAAATTTTGAAACGGAAGCGCCTTTAAGTATACACAACTCGTAAGAAATATTCCGAGGCAAACAGAATTTTATTCGTACTTTCTGAATTTTTGGTTTGTTATCTGAAAAATCTATCTACACTTTTATTTTCCTTTCGATACCCTAGTTTTTCATTTGATTTTCTTTATCTTTATTTTTCATTGATTTGCTGCACAATTTGAAGGATAAAAAGTGAATGATTGTGGAGCAAATAAATCAGATAGTTATCTCAATCCATGCTTGTTTAAGCAGATCCCTCTGAACAGCCTGTTTAGGCATCCCTTTTATTTCTATGGAATCTTGAGCATTTCTGGTAGCACCAGATCCTGCAATCTCTTCAATAAGACTATTTTGAGACCTTTCCAAGACCAATTACTGACTTGATTTGACAGCCATGGACACTGATAGTGAATTGCAAGGCCCAACATCAACTTGGGCAATGATTGCCAGATTCACAGAAGCCATCTGCAACCTCAACAGCAATCAAGCAATCTTACAAGCAACCATCAATACGCAGCAACAAGAGATTGCTAACCTCAGAGCGTCAGTAACATCTGTCCCTCCAACTATATCAAGACGTCTCCCCGACTTCAAGATGCCATCCATCAGACCCCTAGAGTTCACTGGGAACATTAAGCACATGCCAGCACACCAGCTACAAAACTACTTGGATGATTACCTCGAAAGATCACTTGAAACTTGCAGACTGTACAACTTTGCTCCAGACTCTCTGTCATGCACTCACCTTGGCCAACCAACGTATGTCCAGTTCATATCAAGTGGTTTCACATCACAAGCACGGACTGCATGGCGCCGTGTCACGGAAATTGAAAAAGAACAAATGAATTTCGAAGATTTCAAAAAATGGCTATTTTCTAATTTTGGATCAACCCTCACACTTCCGCAAGCAGTAGAAGCCATGGAAGAACTCCGCCAAAATAAATCTGCAGTTCTTTATTCAGCTGCCTTCAATGATCTTGTCTCTGCCATCGCCGCTGCTGGTATTGAGTACCCCGAAAGACATCTTTGCATCAAGTACCTCAACGGACTCAAACCACATCTACAAACAGTGCCAGATCTTTACAGAATCACAGATGACTTGAGGAAGCTCCAGGAGGAAGCAGAAAAA